CTCTCTCTCTCTCTCTCTCTCTCTCTCTCTCTCTCTCTCTCTCTCTCTCTCTCTCTCTCTCTCTCTCTCTCTCTCTCTCTCTCTCTCACTTATGTGGCAGATGCAAACATATTCATGTGTTTGCAGAACGTTTTCCGAATGTATCATCCATATGTTTGGGTCTGCATGTGTATATATATATATATATAGACATATGGAAGTATGATATTGTCAAAACACAGGAGTGTAATTCAACAGTTTCCCCAAACAATCATCAATCTAAATATTGCCCAAGACTGATATCAATATATGAGGCACTCATATCATTCTTTTGATAAATAATAATACATTTATGGTGACTGTTAATAATGCCCTTGATGCACGGTGACACTGAAGTTATGCATAAAGTACAACAACTAATGCTATTGCATAGGAAAAATAAAGATAACTATTCTAGGACAATAATACCATTGTAAAAAACCTTACTTGGCATTAAGATCAAGCACCTTGCTGGTTGCTTTGCTCTCTGTATCTCTTGATATGAGACAAATGCAAAGAGTCCCACAATTCAGCAATGTATATTTAATGTGGTCTAAGAGAATTCCGATCTTCAAAATTACTATGAATCTAAAATATATCACTTGATGCCGGTCATTGCCCTCTAGGTTATGTGTTTGTCCGGGCTCAAGAGATCCTAAAGTTTATCTACCTCAGGCGTGGGATAAAATAAATATGAAGAATACCAACCTAGTAAATTCTGACAAGCCATTGTCTTTGCTTGAGCTTCCCAAGTTCTCCAGCTATATATCTGCATGAGAACCACATTTTTATTTATATAAGCAAAACTTGAGCAACATATCTATAGTTAAACCTATTATGTCTAATTCAAGAGACTGAAGAATAAAAAGAAGAGCTGACCTTTATCATTGCAAGAATGACTGTAGAGCAGCAATAGAAACTATGGGTAACGGCGAGAACAAACAAGAAACGGTGAAGCTGCTCCAGAGATTCATACGAAACAAAAGGTTCGTGACCCTACATCATAGACACTTAAAGTTGGAAATACACAACCCAGGAGGCTATCTAACTAATCAAGTTGCATGTATATCAATAAACAAATAACTTTAGACTAGTGAGAAGAAGTAGATAGGTAAATTTCAAATGCTCTGTAGATAGGAACAGACATTAGAAGACCATCATGTGGAAGCAAAAAATCTTTTTCCTGAACTTGAATGATCTTCTACCAAAGGGACTGATGTACACAAACGAGTATAGCAACAGTATAGAAGATTGACATCCATTAGTGAATATGCTGGGATGAATCTTTGCAAATGGACTCAGAAGAATGTTGACTCCCTTACCGTGTCCTTTTAAGAAATCTGTTGAAATTATTAGATCTTTCCATAATTTTTATCCATATTAATCGTCAGCAATCAAAACACACGACAATTTAGATGAAGGCATGTACATTTAGCCCCAACCTTCAATGTCCCTCTATGTTTCTTAAGCAGCATTTTATGCTCATGGACACTTCTTAAACCATCTTTCACCTTCTGTTATGAATCAAAGCTCCACATTCCGAAATACCAATTTCTAAAACTAAAAGAAGAATAGTGGAGGGCAGCATTTACCTGAGAGCAATGACTATGCTGAAAGCCATGTTTCCACTGCCTAAAAACCGAATGATTAACAGAGTATGAACCTCTAGAATTCCCCATTTGTGCTGAAGGAATCAATAGCCTGTTGTAATTCTTAACAGAACAAGGATAGAATCGCGACCCCAACGGAGAGGCTTTCACACAGATTTCAGCAACCCACCTTGCCCAGTGACCCAGCAACAGAGATAACAGCCCGAAGACCATCAGCTCTTCAACAAGAACAAAGAACAGAAAAAAATCCACCTCAAAATTAACCCCAACTAGAATAAAATAGAAAAAAAAAAAAATGAACCCATTTAAAGCAAAAAAACATGATGAAAACTACATATACAAGAATACAACCTTCTTTGATCTTCTCCAGAGCAGCCAAGAGAGCCTTTCTCCTCGTCATCTGCAACCACTACACAACACAGGAAAAAAGAAAAACAGAAGCAAGAGAGATGATTCAAAGGAACAAGGGTAAGAAATGAGAGATAGTGAAAAGTGAGTGGATGGTTCTGAGAATTGTTACCTTGAAGAGTCGTTGAATGCAACGTTGAACTACAAAACAGAGAGCAACCATTATACTAGTTATTGTTGCAACTGACCATGTAGGAGTCTCTGCAAGAGACCTTCCAACCTCTAGCTCCATCCCCATCACTCTCTCTCTCTGTCTCTCTACAGTACACTGTGCTTCTTCCTGAGTTTTACATCCTTCTCTCTCTCTAGAGAAGTCCAAAGTTTGAAAATCTCGTCTTCTTTGTCTGTGTTTGTCTTCTGAGTGTGCTTGCTTCTTTCGGACATGTGGCGGGCAGTAATGGGATGATTTAAAGTTTAAACTGTCCCTGACATGCCTCCCTCCTGGCCTTGTCTACTCGAAATTCAAACAAACCAAACAACTTTTGTTTCCCGGAAAATTGTCTTCTGCTTTTCCCTCACTTTTTCCACATGTATTCTCTAGCTTAGCTTTTGCTAATTGGCTCCTCCTTCACTTAATTAATTAATAATTGTCAGATTACCGGACATCCTCACTGTCTGTTCAGTTTTCACCCATCTTTTGAATTGTCTTTTGCTTTTATGTAACACCCCAATTGAATTAGGAAATATGTTAAGAACCATAGAAAATGACAAGAAATGAGTTACATTTCATTATATAAGACTTTATATATATACACCAATTTTTTAAAATCCGGATCCGCAGGGTGGATCTTCCCCCCCAAGTATCAGTGTTGGATTGGCAATTTGGGTTCGGATCAGCAAGGCAGATCATCCACCCCACATATCAGTGTTGGATCGTTGGATTGGCAATTTGGGTCGATTTGAATTGGAGATCCAAAAAATATTCACAAATAAAATAAATTCAAAATTAAGATATGGTTTATTGGTGCGGATTAGAAGAGAATGTTTTGATGTTAGAGAACCCTCCAATCGATCATTTTGACCTCAAGGATATGAATAAAGAAAATTATCAAGTCCTAAAAATATTGTATCTTATAACGAGGTATCTCGATCATCTATTTTCAAGATTTTCAAATGTTTATAACTCTTCGTAGCCTGTATCATTTTTTAAATTTTAAAATTTTATAACTAGGAATTAAAATAGATTTTCAAGTCATCACATAGTTTTCAACAACAAAATTATATCTCCAAACAAATTTTAGGATACACCTTACTTCTGTAGTCTAAGGAAGGCGCCTTATTTAAACCAGACCCGTGTATATTATCTGTAATTGACGTTATTGTTTGCCCACCCACTATTTTATCTTTTTAACTTTTCAATGAGCAAGGAGAGTACCCAACCTAATTATAAATAAGTAAACCATCCAAATATAATAGTAACCGAACTCTTCTTAAATAAATGGCAAAAGTTTATATAGCCGAAGCTCTAAATAATCAAATTAAAGCCTACATCAAAAATTTCACTAGAAGTTGTTTTGATGCCCAAATATACTCAAATTGATCATCTCGACATCAAGATGCATGGACATGAGAAAAAAAATGGATTTTAAGTTTTCGAAATAGTGTATCTTGTAACGCATATTTGGACTGTCAATTTTCAAGATTTTTAAGTTTTCATAGATCTGTTAGATCTACATAATTTGTTAAGCATTAAATATTATAATTAAATATGGAAGTAGTTTTTAAGCCTATCATAAAGATTTTTAGTATTGAAACTACATTTCTCGACACTATTTGAACGTGGGCTCTAACTTGATTGTTTAGAACCTCGGCCCTATATAAATCGCACCCTAAATAAACAATTACGAGTTTACTTATTTCCTCTTATAAAGAGCACCGATTAGCTCAACTGATTGTGCGTTAGCTACCCAAGCTTAAATGGTTCCTAAATAAATTTGAAGCAACTTGAATTGGACAAATTTGTCGTGGCTAACATGACCGCTTCTAGTTACTGAATAAAAAACCCCTAAGAACATTGTGTCCCTGGTTGTTGCATGGCAAGGGCATAAAAAACTGTTTAATCGGTGATCCAAATCATAACAGGCCGATCAGCATTAATAATTTATTGGGCTGGCAGAATCCTGTAAAATACTAGGAACCGGCTAGTTCCCTCACGAATCAGACGATTCCAACCGGTTCTAGCCAGTTATTTGATCCAGTTGGTTCTATTAGAGAAATGGTTAAAACCAAGCCCACTTGTTTTTATTTTTTATTTTATTTTTTTAATAACTTTGGCTAATTCTGGCCGGTTCTCCAACAAAAGGACTGACCCTACTTAATTTCTTTTAATTCTTTTTTAATTTCCGATTCAGTGGACCATCCTGATGAGAAATTCAAAGGGGCGATCCAAGTCACGGTTCGTTTTTAAAACCATGGTATAAACTAGAGACTTAGTTCCGCTACTGGGACCCTCGTGAAGTAAATGTGACTTCATCTAACAAAACGCATGATGGCTTGTTGTACACTCATACCTTAAAAGAGTTGGGAGAATTTTTCGACGTGAATATTGGGATACACCCAAGGACAACTAGATGATTAATTTTCAAAGGGAAAAAAATATGTTTTTTTTCGTTTTTTCCAAGGAATGGGTTCAAGGCTAGTTAGTGTAGTGGGTCGCTACAACATGATGTTATGAGTCGTATTCCTACGACACATAGGGGCCATCCCCACTGAACTAACCAAAAATCTTTTTTCAAGCATATAGAAGAGGTTCCATTTCTAGAGTAGATGCTCCAAGATTAAGTTTTGCCTTTTGCCTGAGGAAATGTTTATGCGAGAGTATAAATTAAGAAATAACTATTCCATATAGTACCAATCAATTTCGTTCTTTCAGTTTTGACTTTTGTGTTTTTGTAGGTTTCGCCATGTATAAAAACCGTATAATAATCATATATAGAACAAGTCTTCCCCTCACCAAAAGTCAGGGGTGCAAATCGATTTAAATGTGAGATGGAAAACATTTTGAGAGGAAAATAGTCATTAAGCTTCACAACAAATGGATAGCACTCCAAAAATGAATTAGGTACCTCTCTGTTTTTTGAAAATTGATCAAAAGAAAACCACGTGATCTTTTATAGGTAACTACTGACATAATCTCCTCGTATTTCAATTGAAAAACTACTGGCTCATCCCCCTCCAATCAATGGATGATCGACCATGGAGAAAGTTTGGGACCCTCCATTGCATCATATCATGTTCTTTTGGGCCTTCACGCTTCCTAAACATCCATGCATATCTTTATCCATCCGTTAATTTAACGGTGATGACCTAAGGGACTAAGGTATCACCGTAGCCCTAAAGGTAACAACTGCCGGGCCAGCCTTGGCCGGGTCAGGCCAAAAATAAATGAAGAAAAAAAAAATAGAGGACTGAGCCGGGTCGAATGGAGCCGGCACTGGTCCTAGCCCGGCCTTTGGGCCATAGTTTGTGGCCTAGACCCCACTTTTTTAGGGCCGGGATGCCCCGCCCATTGCCGGCCCTACATAGCCCAATGGTTTATAGTTCCTTTTTTAATGTTCAAACTACCGTCTTGTTTTCTCTCTTTTCAGGAAATGACGAAACCAACATAGAACTTACATGCTGTGCTTCTAAGATATTATCGCCTTTTAATAATCTAGGTCCATGGGTGTATCTATGAGCATCTGTTAAGGAAAATAATTAAGCAATGAGAATACCATTTAAGGCTACAAAAACATAGAATTTGGGTTTTTCTTGTTCAATGATTTAAAAAATAATTGTTGTAGTTGTTAGTTATCAGATGTAGTAAATGATCCATCATCAATGCCCAACACGCTTTTTAAGTCCATGTGATATGTTAATATTCAAAAAAAAAGGTCCATGTGATATGTTGGATGCCAGCAATGAAAAGACAAGTATTTGTTGTGGGGGGCACCAATTAAATTGCCAAAAATGAAGTGATTTCTTATGTGCACATCTATTAAGTTTTTCGGTGTGTGATAGGAAAATCCGCCAGAGTGTTTTTGCTTGCCATTTAAAGGTCTATGAATGTGTGAATGAGCCAGTAAATTGAAGTGTTTGTTGACATGAGGAGTGCTTGGATAAAAAAAGGAGCATGGTTAGCAAATTCAATCAAGAAGACAATGCAAGCAAGCGTGTGGGCAGGAGGGGTGGAAGTGGCCCCCTTTATTTTTTTTCTTTTTTTTTTTTGTCTGAATTTTAGCTCGGCTTTGTTTAGGAATGGGCTCGGATAGGTGGTCAAGGTGCTTTGATTTAAGTTTTTCTCTCATTTCCTAACTCTCTCTAAAAGGGGGCAGACCGGCCCTTTTTATCTTCTCTCTTCTACTCTCTAGAAGGGCCCTCTTGCTTCTAAATTTCTAAAAATCCTTTCTTTTTTTTGTGTTTTCTTTTTACCGCATTCTTGGAATTGGACCCTAGCTAGGTTAGCTTTGTTTATTCTAAAAACTACTTCGCATTAGGGTCTAATTCCAAGACGGCGATAAAAATCGCCTCTATTTGCTTACTTGGATTGGAGTATCATGGATGCACCTTACTAGCTAGCACATGGACCTGTCCATTACAATGTATGGCTATATGTTAAAGTAGGGGACCTGCTTGGGCTTGCCAACTCCCTAGAGCCTTAAAAGCCGTTTGTTTGGTGACCAAGTAAGAGTTGCTCAACACAACCTGCTCATCAATGTGCTCATTGGCCATTTCGAGGCCTATAACAACATTTTAGGAAAAGAATCATGTTTAATTGGTTAGCAATTGACGATTTGCAATGCTACGTCTTAGGCTCAATTCTTATCAGGGTAGGAGTCTTCTCCCCACTGACTCAAAAAAAAAAAGCCTATAACAAGAGCCTCATACACTGCCTGATCAATCGAGCATTTCTTTTTAGGCATGAAATGGTATGGAATAGCCCCTTTGTCAATAGTTAGAAAGACAACACCTACTTTACCCTTTGATTCTACATGCTCATTGAAGTACATCTTTCATACTGGTCAAGTTTACATGAACAACACATCCTCATTGGGGAGCTCCTTATTTCAAGGACCTTCAAGCAATGAGCCTGTAGCCAGAAAATCCACCAAAGTATGTCCCTTCATAGCCTTTTGAGAGACAAAGGCGATGTCAAACTCCATAAGGAGTAGTTACTGCTTGGTCAGATGCCCTCATCTTATAAGGCGCATATGAGATACTTGATGGGACCTGCATAAGAAACCAGTTGGATGGGGCGTGCAAGACGGTAGTGATGCAGCTTTTGAACCATTAATACTAGTGGAAAGCACATCTTCTCTATAGTCGAGTGTTCACGTTTGGTGCTAGCCATCATATGGCTCAAGTAGTATGGCATCATCTCTTTACTCTTATTGTATTGAGACAACAATGCTCCTAGTAACTCATTGAGAG